CCTGATTAAAGTGACATCTCCCTAATCGGCTCTGCGCTAGGAGGTCTCAGCTTAAAGACTCCCCCAGAGGGCTGCTGTGTTGGTCTATGCCCTTTTTGGTATCCAAGCAACAGGGAAGCTTGTCAGCACACAGAAGTTATTATAACCAGTATCTTATTTCCACAGACAGAGAAGGAAACTGGAGGGTGACACAAAATTCAGGGATGCATGGCTCAGACATGTTTGAAAAGATCACCTTGACATTTGGGGGAGGGACATGGGGGGAGGAAGAAGAGAATGACAAATAATATCTCCTAACTGGAAACCAAGCCACAGATGCTTATGCTCACTGCTGCCTGTACAGAGAGGCAGTGTCTGGGGGCAATCCATAGGTTGTGACAAAACAGCTAAAATACGCCAAGGGCCTGATCTAAAGCTGAATGAAGTCTATGAAAAGACTCCCATTGACGTCAGTGGACTTTGGATCAGATCCCCAGTGCTCGTCACGAAAGGACCTCCCACAGACTATCCTTGCCAAGACCCTTTACAGAAATGCATTCCCAGCCATAGGCGCTGACTCTGCGGGCTCTGGGGCTGAAGCACCCAAGGAAAAAAAAATTGTGGGTGCTCAGCACCCACTAACAGGCCCCTCCTTCCCCTCCCCCCTACAGCACCTCCTGCCTGTCGAGAATCAGCTGTTCAGCGGCGTGCAGGAGGCATGGGGGGGGGGGGAGGAGCTGGGGGAAGGAAGAGACTGAGTGAGGGCGGGGCTGGACAACACATCAGGGGGGACATCCCCAAATGCCAGGGAGAGGAAGGGGCTGGGGGGACCAGGAGCAGAAAGGGCAGGACTAGCCCCTTCCGGCCACTGGGACACTACTCTGCAGCATGGCGGGCTGGTGGCTGCCTGAGAGAGCATGGCTGGGGAGGTGGCTTCTGCTCCCCGCCAAGGTTGGTTGCCAGGGGCGAGCGAGTCTGAACCCCCCGGCACGTTTCCGGCTCGCTCAGCATGCCTCCTACACAGCCACCAGCAACTACATTCACAAACAGGCACTGGGGGCATCAATTTTGCACAAGAAATTTTGATGGTGAGTTTTGAACATGTAGCCATACACATGACACCTGGACTGGCTACTAGTTCCTGGGGGTTCAAAGTCTACAAGAGCAAGGAGTTCCTGCAGGAGGGTCCATCCTCTCCCCGGCGGCAACTCCAGGTATCTGGAAAACGGGTGAGGTTTTCCAGGGAAATGAACAGGAAAGCCGTTTTTATTCAAATGTTCCATGAAAAACTGGTTTTTTGGTAGGAAAGTCACAAAATTGCAGCCAAAACCCGAAAACTGTTGGAAACTGCCAAAAAAAAAATTATCCAGAAACTGCTAAAAGTTTCCAATTTGGGCGCTCTCAGTTTGCTGACCAAAAATTAATAAGTTTTCAAGGGAAGCAGACAATTCCCACAAAAATGGTCATTTCCTTGAAAACCAAATTTTCTGACAAAAAAGTTTCAAAAGAAATTTTTCTACCAAGCCTAGCAACAATATTTAGGTGACATGTCCATAAGCATTCTGTAAGTATATACACAAACATATGGGAATGTAAGTAATAGGATAGCATAGGACCATAACACCATGATTATAGGCATCACAGATCATCATTCTTGTTCCTGGAGTCAGTCTTTGGCCCTCACAGCTTGACACCCTAAGTGTGCATAGGATTCCCAGACCTGCATAGTCACTGGACTAGTAGCGGTCCTTTTGATTTTCAGTGGGAGGGTGGGGGAGTTTTAGCTGTGGGGATGGTCTCTCCACTTTTATGGACCCAAAATAATAGAAGATCTGATCTGCCCTCATACTTCTACCATCCGGAAAGTGAAATACTATCAGATGACTAGAAATTATGTTATTTTCGTCCCACAGGTGGCTCCGAGGCTTTAATAACTTTCCAGGAAAACCCAAATGAGCCACTTCCCCACCCCTATTTAAAACCTGCCGGAGAGGTTATTCACATCCAAGAAGATAGAAACCATCAGGAGAGAGATAACGAACATCTGCAGGCCTGATTCTGAACTTTCCTATAGGTATAAATTCAACTCCATTCAAGTCAGTGGAGTTAAATGGGTGTAAAGCTAGCATGAATGAGATCAGAATTAAACCCAATGTCTCTTTTCCCTTTTCTATCATTTTAACCAAGCACAAATGCATTGTAGACTTGAGGGACCACTCATGAGCCAAAATATGCCATCAGAACAGTTCACTGTAACATGGACTTCGCTGACCCAATAGCCACTAACCAGGCAAAGTCAGCTCCATCCAAAGGAGATGGTTGGCTGTGGTTCCTTTCAGATGTAACACGAGTATTTTAAAAGACATCTTTGCAAATGAAGATCAAGTTGTAAAGATTCTGGCCCTGAATCTATTCCCAGTTTCAATGGGACTGTTTGGGTGTGACTGGGAGCAGATCATGGCCCTCACTCAGATAGTTTGCATGGAAGACACTAGATGAAGCTTCTATTTTGGTCGCGGGGAAGGTGGATGGGAGAGGCAAAGGTGATGGAATAAGCATTTCGGATGTTATGAAACAGTTCTCCTGGAGAAAGCAAGAGATTTTACCTCACCCTTTTGTAGAGCTGTTGATTAATCGCAGTTAACTCACGTGATTAACTCAAAAAAATTAATCGCAATTTTAATCTCACTGTTAAACAACAGAATACCAATTGAAATGTATTAAATATTTTTTGATGTTTTTCTACATTTTCAATTATATTGATTTCTATTACGCAGAATACCAAGTGTACAGTGCTCATTTTATATTACTACAAATATTTGCACTGTAAAAAACAAAAGAAATAGAATTTTTCAATTCACCTCATACAAATACTGTAGTGCAATCTCTTTATCATGACAGTGCAACTTAAAAATGTAGATTTTTTTGTTACATAACTGCATTCAAAAATAAAACAATGTAAAACTTTAGAGCCTACAAGTCCACTCAGTCCTACTTCTTGTTCAGCCAATTGCTAAGACAAACAAGTTTGTTTACATTTATGGAGATAATGCTGCCCACTTCTTATTTACAATGTCACCAGAAAGTGAGAACAGGTATTTGCATGGGACTTTTGTAGCCAGCATTGCAAGGTATTTACGTGCCAGATATGCTAAACATTTGTATGCCCCTTCATGCTTCGGCCACCATTCCAGAGGACATGCTTCCATGCTGATCATGCTCATAAAAAAAATAATGCGTTAATTAAATTTGTGACTGAACTCTTTGGGGGAGAACTGTATACCTCTGGCTCTGTTTTACCTGCATTCTGCCATATATTTCATATTATAGCAGTCTTGGATGATGAGTCAGCACATGTTGTTCGTTTTAAGAATGCTTTCACTGCAGATTTGACAAAACACAAAGAAGGTACCAATGTGAGATTTCTAAAGATAGACACAGCACTTGACCCAAGGTTTAAGAATCTGAAGTGCCTTCCAAAATCTGAGAGGGACGAAGTGTGGAGCAGGCTTTCTGAAGTCTTAAAAGAGCAACACTCAGATGCAGAAACTACAGAACCCGAATCACCAAAAAAACAAAATCAACCTTCTGCTGGTGGCATCTGACTCAGATTTTGAAAATGCACATGCATCGGTCTGCACTGCTTTGGATTGTTATCGAGCAGAACCCATCATCAGCATGGAGGCATGTCCTCTGGAATGGTGGTTGAAGCATGAAGGGACATATGAATCTTTAGCGCATCTGGCATGTAAATATCTTGTGATGCCGGCTGCAACAGTGCCATGCGAACACCTGTACTCACTTTCAGGTGACATTGTTAACAAGAAGTGGGCAGCATTATCTTCTGCAAATGTAAACAAACTTGTTTGTCTCAGCGATTGGCTGAACAAGAAATAGGACTGAGTGGACTTGTAGGCTCTAAAGTTTTACATTGTTTTATTTTTGAATGCAGGTTTTTTTTGTACACAATTCTACATTTGTAAGTTCAACTTTCACAATAAAAGAGATTGCACTACAGTACATGTATGAGGTGAATCGAAAAATACTATTTCTTGTTTTTTACCGTGCAAATATTTGTAATCAAAAGTAAATATAAAGTGAGCATTGTACACTTTGTATTCTATGTTGTAATTGAAATCAATATATTTGAAAATGTAGAAAACCTCCAAAAATATTTAAATGAATGGTATTCTGTAATTGTTTAATTGCGTGATTAATCACGATTAAATTTTTTTTAAATCACTTGACAGCCCTACCCTTTTGCATTTAGGGCCCTCAATGCTCTGTCGCGGAACTTCCCAGGGAGCAGGATCAGAACACACATGGTGTGCAGCAGCACACGTAGCCCAGTCTTGTGCTACTCCAGAACCTTAGGACAAAGCAGGTTAATTCACTGGTACCAGTACAAGGAAGAGAGTCTCAGCCTGAAAGCTGAACCTCCTTTGCTTTTCTGGGTTTGAATAAGAACCAGAGCATTACTTTACAGTAGTTTAAAGGTTTAGCTACATTACAACATGCACATTCTTAGTTCTGTACACAGCACAATTAGAGGGGATCAGTGACAAAAGGCATCAAGACTCAGATAGTACTGTGTTGGGCATATGTTATAGAAACCTAGATAGTACAGACCTGAATTTCAAACTCAGTCAACAGTCTGTTAATGATTTGCCCAGGATGGCTATGGAAGGGATTTAAGAGCTGAACTAGATAGCTATTTATCTAGGCATTTAGGGTCAGATCCTCAGATGGCGTAAACAGATGTCAAAGTCAATGGAGTTGACTTTAATAGGATTATGCTGATTTACACTAGAAGATCAGGGCCTAGTACCACGCTGAGTTCCTAATAAGGAGGATTCATTTATTCAATAAATCACTGAAAATCACTTAGACACATGGAGCCCCTCTAACTCACCTTCCACAGGGGCTGTCATACTGCATCCCTAAAGTGCAGATACATTAACTAGTATTATTTTTAAGTGGTTACCCCCGTTGGAACAAACTTCACATGGAGAAAAGGATACATCCCCAGGATAACTGCTTCAAGGCATTTGATAGGTAAGGATTCCCTGGTCATTTCTCTTGCCGTCTCCATTAACCTAGGATAGAAAAAACTTTCAGTCCTTTTAGTGAAAATAGTTAACAAAAATTAAAGGTTCCTCTTACCTGATTAGGGGCCAAATCCCTCTGGTCTTATTGGGCCCAATTCTCCTCTCAAACCACATTCACTTGGATGTAACTGCACTGATTCCTATAGAATCACTCCTAGTTTACAGTGGAGGGGGATAAAAAACAGGCCTTAATATACAGGTAGCCAGGACTGAGTGGCAGCAGATATATTGGAGAACCCAGATGTCTCAGAAGGGTCACCTTTAAGTAATGGCTTTTGCTATTTTCCTTA